TGTCCTGGTGGCTTCATGCCCTGACGTGTGTCCTGGTGGCATCGTCCCCCCATGCATGGTAGCATCGTCCCCTGATATGTGTCCTGGTGGCTTCATGCCCTGACGTGTGTCCTGGTGGCATCGTCCCCTGATATGTGTCCTGGTGGCTTCATGCCCTGACGTGTGTCCTGGTGGCTTTGTCCCTGCCCATATGTGTCCTCATGGCATCGTCCCTCCATCATGTGCTGGTGGCATCATCCCCTGACGTGTGTCCTGGTGGCTTCATGCCCTGACGTGTGTCCTGGTGGCATTGTCCCCCCATGTGTGGTGGCATCGTCCCCTGACATGTGTCCTGGTGGCTTTCTTACTCCATGTGTGTCCTGGTGGCTTCACATCCCAATATGTGTCCTTGTGGCACACGCACACCCCCTTCTGCATGCACACGCACACGCATGCACACACGCATGCACACACATGCCGATGCGCATGGGCACACACGCGTGTGCGCAGACACAAGAACACACGCGCACACGGCATGCACACCCCCACCTGCATGCACGCCATGTGTACACACACATGCATGTGCACGCACACGTATGTATGCACATACACCCCATGCACACGCAATGCACACACACGTACACACTTTCTTGTGCCCCCCCCCATGCACACACATGCGCACACGCGTGTAGCCCCTTCCTAGGCCCCCCACACGTGTGCACACATGTGCTGCAGAGCCGCCCCGCCAGAACCGCCCATGCAACACGCACACGTGTGCCACCCTGCCGCGCCACGTGCCCCCCCCCATACGCGTGTCGTGTCCCCCGCCCTCGGTGACATTTGCGCTTGGGTGCGGGGACAAAGTCCAGCGAGGCCACAACACGGGACGCAGCGATGGGGGCCGTATCCTGCAGCATGTTCCCGTGGCTCCTCCTGGCGCTGAGCGTCTGCGTCTGGCCCAGCACAGGTAGGCCCACGACACGCCACGACACGCGGCAACATGCTCCAACACAGCAAAACACGCCACAACACCCCACAACACACCGTGACATGCAACAACGTGACACAACGCGCCACAATGCTCCCTGACATGACACAACATGCTAAAACATCCCACGACACGCCACAACACCCCACAATACCCTACAACATGACACAACATGCCACTACATACCATGACATGTCACAACATCCCACAACATGCTAGAACACACCACAACATGCTACAACACGTGGCAACACCCCACAACATGCCATGCCATGACACAACGTGCCGTAACACCCCACAACACCCTACAACATGCCACAACACACTGTGACATGCTACAACACCCCACAACACGCTAGAACACACCACAACATGCTACAACGTGCCACAACACCCCACAACATTCTGCAACACCTCATGACGTGCCACAACACACTACAACACACCACAACATCCTACAACATGCTGCAACACCCCACAACACCTCACAACATGCTACAACATGCCACGACTCCCCACAACATGCTAGAACACCCCACAACACGCCACAACACCCCACAACATGCCAGAATACACCACGTGCTACAACATGCCGCGACATCCCACAACATGCTAGAACACACAACATGCTACAACACGCCACAACACCCTACAACACGCTACAACACCCCGCAACACCCCACGCCATGCCAGAACACCCCACAACACGCCACACCACGTCACGACACAGCGTGCCACAATCCATCACAACACACCCCGGCGTCCAGCCACACGCTACAACACGCCCCAGCATGCCACTACACGCATGTGGTGACCGCAGGGGCTTCTCCGAGCTCCTTTTGGGGGCCAAAATGACTCTGGTTGCATTTTTTTCCCTAATTAGGGTGATTCTAACCCAAAACTTGTGCCCACCTGGGTGGTGTCGGGGGGGTGGGGGAGGGGCTGCACCCAGTTTTGGGTGCATTTGGCTTCGGTCGGGCTTCGTGTGCTCACGATGGGTGCCGTCGCCCTGGCTTGGGGCGGTTTTACCCTTTTTTGGGGGTACTTTTGCCTTTTTGGGGTGTTTTCACCCTGGTTTGGATGCAGCCACCCACTTTTGGGTGCTTTTGCTATTTTTGGGGGTGCTTTGGCCTTTTTTAGGGTGCTTGCACCCTGTCCTGGGTGCTTTAGTCCTGGTTTGGGGGTGTTTTCATTCTGGTTTGGGTGCATTCACCCTGGTTTGGGTGTTTTCACCCTGGTTTGGGTACTTTCACGCTTTTCCTGAGTGCTTGCGCCCTCCTCTGGGTGCATACACCCAGTTTTAGGTGCTTGCACCCTGGTTTTGGGTGCATTTGCCCTGGGTTTGGGTGCATTTGCTCTTTTCTGGATGCATTTGCTCTGCTATGGGTGCTATCATCCTGTTTTGGGTGCATTCGCCCTGCTTTGGGTCCTTTCACCCTGGTTTGGGTGCTTTCATGCCGCTTCGGGGTGTTTTCACCCTGGTTTGGGTGCATTCACCCTTTTCCTGGGTGCTTGCGCCCTCCTCTGGGTGCTTTTGCGTTGCTTTGGGTGCACTCACCCAGTTTTAGGTGCTTTCACCCTGGTTTGGGTGCATTTGCTCTGGTTTTTGGTACATTTCCTCTGGTTTAGGGTGCATTTGCCCTTTTCTGGGTGCATTTGCTCTCCTATGGGTGTTACCATCCTGTTCTGGGTGCATTCGCCCTGCTTTGGGTGCATTCACACCGTTTGGGGTCCTTTCATCCTGTTTTGGGTGCTTTCACCCTGTTTGGGGTGCATTTCCCCTCATTTTGGTGCAGTCACCCTGGTTTGGGTGCACATTCACCCACGCCGGGAGACTCTTGCCACCCCACGGGTGCCCCTCGGTCCCCTCCCACATCCCCGTCCCCTCCCCAGGTCTCCCACCACGCCACATGGACTCCGTGGTTCAGATCGTGGAAGCCCTTGAATCGACTGACCACGGCTTTACCGGCACCGTGCCGGAGCTGGCGCGGGCACTGGGTGGCTGCAGCACCCCTGGGTGCCGTGCGGTGCTGGGAGAGCCACCCGACGTCCCACCAGCCCCACCAACGCTCAGCCGCGAGCAGTGGCTGCTCTTCACCCAACTCCTCCACCACGACGACGCGACACCCGAGCGCGGCGCGGTGCTGGCACCCGACGGCTCCACCGTCGCCCTCGGTCCCCTTCTTGCCGGCGTCGAGGTTGGCCTCAAGCGGGCGGCAGGGTGGCCCGTCCCCACCGTCGAGCCACTCGTCGACGCGCTCTACGCCGTCACCATCGCCGAGGCTTTGGGGACATCCTTCCTCTTGGCTCGTGACGGTTACGGCAACCGAGCCGCGCTGGGACCTGGTGGCTGTTGGGATGACGTGGATGACCCCCAAAACTACACCCTGCTGGGACCCCCGTCACCCATCCCCGATGCTATCGCCAACGGGGCGATGGATGGGGTGCTGTTGGGTGCACGCCTGGCCCGAGCACCCATCCCGCTCGCCGACCTTCTCCGGGGCTACTACGGGACAGGCAACGGCACGGAGAAGGGACGACCCCCCAGCAGTTATCGGCGGCGAGATTTTGGGGTGCTGACGGGGCCAGAGAAGCTGGAGGAGGAGGTGGCGGCGATGCTGAGGGTGCTGCGGGTGCTGCCACCCACCCGGGAGCTCTTGGAGAACGTGGGGCCGGAGGAGGTGGCGGCCATTGCTCGCCAAGCAGCGCGGGACTTCACGGAGGTCTACGTGGGTAGGGAGATCAGATTTCTGTGTCGTCCCCCACCCCCCCAAAAAAATTGGGTGGGAGGATGGGTGGAGAGCTGCACCCTGGGTGGGGTCCCCAGTGTCACTTCAGTGTAGGTGGCACTGAGGGGAGTCAAGCTCTGAGAGCTGACTGGTGACATGTGGCCTGCAATGGTGGGACACCACCATGTCCCCTAGATGGACATTGGTGTGTCCACTGGCTGGACACCGCTGTGTCCCCTGGATGGACATCGGTGTGTCCCCTGGATAACGGGTCCCTGGACACTGCTTTGTCCCCTGTATGGTCACCGACATGTCGCCTGAATGGCCACCACCGTGTCCTCTGGATGGACACTGGTGTGTCCCCTGGAGCCAGCCGTGTCCCCAGCCAGGGGACACCTCAAGCAGATGCTCCACATCCCCTAGCTGAGGGGACTCCAGGAGGACACTGCCATGTCCCAGGCCAAGAGGTTCCCAAGCTGGGCAGATATCCCCAAGACCCCAAAGGGCTGCTGCCGTGTCCCCAACTGCCCGTGCGACCAGGCAAATCCCCTTTCTTCCACCACGTGCCTTCCCTCACAGAGTGCCCGGCCATCGTACCCCGGTGCATGTGGGGTGCCCGTCCCTACCGCGGCACCCCCAAACTCTTGACCCTCCCCTTGGGCTCCGTCTACATCCACCACACCTTCATACCCAGCACCCCGTGCCGCACCTTCGCCGCCTGCGCCGACGCCATGCGCTCCATGCAACGCTTCCACCAAGACACCCGCGGTTGGGATGACATCGGTTACAGGTAAAACCCCAACACCGTCGCTCAACTGCGGTCCTCGTCACCCATCTCCGGGCAGCTCAGGTTGACCCACGGGTGCTTGCAGCTTCGTGGTGGGGTCAGACGGTTACCTGTACCAAGGCCGAGGTTGGCACTGGGTTGGTGCCCACACCAAAGGTTACAACAGCAAAGGCTACGGCGTGGGCTACGTTGGAGACTTCTCGGCCACCTTGCCGGACCCTGACATCATCGCCCTGGTGCGGGACGGGCTCCTGCCATGCGCCGTGCGGACCGGCCGGCTTCACCACAACTACACCCTACGCGGCCACCGCCAGATGGGTCACACCGACTGCCCCGGCAACTCCCTCTTCCATGAAATTGAGACCTGGCACGGCTTCAAGGTGAACACCAAGCTTTGTGGCATCTCCAGGGGTTGGAGGTTGGGGTGTCTGGTCCGCTCTGGCGTGACTGGGAGGATGGGGGTTTGGTGATGGTGGATGTGGGAGGTGATGCTGGGACTGATGGTGGTTTCTTCTCTCCTCTGCAGTGAGGATCAGCCCCGTGGGTCCTGGTCTGGATGGGTGCGGGCAAGGTTGGATCATGGTCTAGATGGACGCTGGCCCCATGGGTGATGGTCTAGATGGACCCTGATCCAACAGATGTTGGTCTGATGGATGCCAGCCTGGGTGGACCCTGGTCCAGATGGACACCAGTCCCGTGGGTGCCAGCCTGGATGGACCTTGGTCCAGACAGAACCTCACCCAATGGATGCCATCATGGATCAGCCCTGGTCCAGCTGGACACCAACCCAACAGGTGCCAACCCTGATGGACGCAGGCCAAGAAGAACCCCAGTCTTCAAGGCTATCAGCCTGGATGGATCCTGGCCCCACTGGCCCAGCAGACCATCCCTGTAGCCACAAACCACTAGAAATCCCCCTGCAATAAAGTCAATGCCAGGACATCAGCTTTGGAGAGCGAGAGGGAAACTGAGGCACGGGATGGGGGGCAGCCATGGGGTCATGGGGGAGGACTTAAGCGAGGGACCCAGGTGCCCAGGATCTGCTGCAGGGCTGGGTGCTGTGGCACACGCGTGCATGTGTGTGCACACGCATGTCCAAGCAGCACTTTCCCCCCTTAACCCACCTTGGAAACCCCACATGACCCCCAAGGAGACCCCCACCTCCATACCCCCCACCCCCGAGAGAAGCACCCACCCCCCAGATGGGCATCCAGCCTCCAGAGGTGCCCACGTCACACCCCACACCGTAGTGGCCAGGAGCTGCTATCTCCAGCACCCGTTCACTCTGAAACCTAATGATGGCATTTCAGCCGGATGAACGCAACAGGCCACCAGGGTACCTAGACCACACTGCGGGGTGGCCCGGCGTGGCTCACCCTTCTCGGTGTGTCCCAGGCCGTGGCCCAGCGTGAGCCTGGCCGAACTGGGAGCGTAGATAACATCATCGGGGCAGAGGCGGAGGTGAGGGTGTGACTGAAACTCCTGCCTGGTCACATGGGGAAGCCACGACAGGAACCGGGGCAGCCGACTCCGGGTGCCGGAGCAGGCAGAGAACAGCCGAGGTACCGCGGGACGGGGTGGGGGGTATGTGGGGGGGGCACCCTGGGGTGATGCTCAGCCTTGGGGGTACACAGGGGATGCAGGGTGCTGGGGCAGGGTGAAGCAGCACCCTGAGGAGTAAGGGGTGCTGCAGGGGAGAGCATGGGTGATGGGGTGCTATAGGGTGCTGCAAGCTGGGGTGGGGACCCCAGAAACGCTGGCACCCCCCCCCGCCCAGGGTTTGAGCACCCTCCGCAGCTCAGCTCTAGGGTGCTGGCACCCCTAAATTGGCAGGCGCCAAAGCCGTGGGTGCCCACAGCTGGCTTCCACCCTGGGGGCTGTCACAGAGAGATGGTCCTGGGGTGCAGCCGGCCCCGTCCACCCCCCCAACCCTGGCCCGCACCCATGTGTGCACCCTGGGGAGCTGGGGGGGGGTCCCCAAGGCCTGGGCTTGGCGCGGGGTGCAGGTGCCAGGAGGAAATGCCGTGGCGGCGCGAGGGGAAACGAGGCCGCATCGGCGACGGAAGCATCTCCGGCACCCGCCTGCGCTCGGAGCCGAGGTGGTGGCGGGCCACCTGCCTGGGTGTCACCGTGTCCCCGGTGTTCACCGCGCCCCGGTGTCACCGAATCCTGATGCTGCCGCACCCCCCCGGGGTGCCACCGCGCCCTGGCAGGGATGGGTGCTGCAGGGGGCAGGGGCCGGCGTGGGTACGGTGGTGTGGGCACCCACTGGGTGGGGGACCTGCTCCGTGGGCAGGGGCATCGGCACCCACAAGATGGGGACCCCTCGGTGGGCAGGGGCACCCCAGAACATCAGCACCCACAAGATGGGGACCCCTCGGTGGGCAGGGGCACCCTGGGGACATGGGCATCCACAAGATGGGGACCCCTCGGTGGGCAGGGGCACCCCAGAACATCGGCACCCACAAGATGGGGACCCCCTCAGTGGGCAGGGGCACCCTGGGGACATGGGCACCCAGAAGATTGGGGGACCCATTGGCGGCTGGAGCCCTCACGGAAATGGGGACCCCTTGGTGGGCAGGGATGCCCCACAGCAATGGGCACCTTAGGGTGCCCCAATGTGGGTGCCCAGATAAGGGTGCCTGGGATGAGAGGACCCAAATAGGGGTGCCTGGATTAGGTGCTCTGGAGAAGGGCACCCAGGTAGGGGTGCCCAGAGAGGGGCACCCAGATAAAGGTGCGTAAATGGGGTGACAAAATAGAGGTGCCCCAATAAGGGTGCCTGGATTGGGGTGCCTGGATGGGGGAACCCACATAAGGGTGCATAAATAGGGTTGCCTGGGTGGGGGTGCCCAGATAGAGGCCCCCAGATAAGGGCACCTAGATGGGGGTGCACTGGGTGTAGGCACCCAAATAGGGGTGTCTGGATAGGGTGCTCATATAGGGTGCCTGTACATGGGTGCCTGGATAGGGACACCCAAATGAGGGTGCCTGGGCTTGGGTGCCCAGATAGAGACACCCAGATAGGGGTGCCCTTGCATGGGGGTCCCATGAATAGGGGTGCCTGGGTGGGGGTGCCCCAAAAGGGATACTTGGATGGGGCACCCAAATAGGGGTGACTGGGTGGGAATGCCAGGTTGGGGGTGCCCTTGCCCCCCCCGCCCCATGCCAGCCCGTGGACACCCCGTGGCTAACGTGTCTCTCCCCATCCCACAGATGGAAGTGGAGAAACCCCCGCTGGGACCCGAGCCACCAACTCTACTGAAGACCTACAAATGGCGAACGGCAGCACCCATGGGTGACCGAGAACCTGAACGGGGCACGGGGTCCCCGGGGAGCCGGCGTTGGACCCGGTTGCAGGGATGGAAACGTTCCTACAGCCAACCCGAATCTGATAGCCCCGATGATGGGGCTGGAAAGGGGAGCTCCGGCTTGGGGGCACCCAAAGCCAGCACCCGCCGGTCCCTCTTCCAACGGGCTTTTTCGGCACCCTCCAAGGGCACCAAGGAGACCCGGGGACCCGAGGGTGGCAAGGCCACCCTGCAGAAGTACCTGCGCTCCATGTCCAAGAGGAAGGGTCACGTGGAGAGCGGTGCCAGGGCTGAGCAGGTGCCCCACGATGCTGTTCCAGGTACGGGGGTGATGGGGAGGGTGGGCGTCAGGGTGCTGGTGGTGGGTGACGGTGATGGGATAGGGGCGGTGGTGGTTGGGGAGGAGTTGGGGGTGATGGGTTGGGGGATGATGGGTGGTAGGTGGTTGTAGGTGATGGGTTGGGAGTGATGGGTGGGGGGTGATAATGATGGGTGTTGGTTGGAGGGTGATGGGTTGGAGGGTGATGGGTGGTGATGATGATGGGTGATCAATTGGGGGTGATGGATGATGGGTTGGGGGCTGATGGGTGGTGGGCAATGGAAATGCGTGATGGTCTGGAATGCAATGGGTGATGGGCGGTGGGTTGGGGGCAACAGTTAGTGGGTGATGGTGATGGGTGATGGTGACCACTGGGGTCTGGGAGGCGGTGGCTGATGGTGGGAGACATAGAGGGGCGTAGGATGTGGCCAGGCTTTGCTGGTGTTGGGGATCTCCTGCCTGCAGGTGCCCTCCAGGGTTGGGGGGGGGGGCACCCATGGGTGCAGGATGGCTGGGTCCCACCTGGCCCCAAGGCCTGCTCCCGGACTCACGTGGCCCTGGTCCCCGTGTGTGCCCGGCACGGGGCTCGTTGGCGGCACGTGGAGCCGTGCCAGCCCCTGCGGCACCCGGATCTGGCAAAACCGGCTTGGCTCCGGCAGGGACACCCACGGTGCAGGCAGGGCGCTGGGGCAGGGCAGCCAGCCGGCTTTGTCCCCATCATGGCGTGGCCACGGCCAAGCGTGGCCTGGCATTGCCACGCTGACGGCGGCACAGCCACATGTCCCCCAGCATTGCCACCCTGGTTGTGGCACAGCCGCGGCCATACATCCCCCGGCATCACCATACCCACGGTGGCATAGCCACAGCCACGTGTCCCCTGGCACTGCCACGCCGCCCATGGGTGACGGGCGCATGGTGAGCACCCAGTCTCCCCCTGACACCCTGCTCTGCACCCCCAGCAAGCACCCACGGGGTGTCATCGATCCCACTGGCTCCAGCACCTGACGCCCCGGTGTGGGATGTCTCCAACTTCTCCTTGGTGGACGGACATCTGATCCTTGTAGGCAAGGACGAGGAGGTGAGGACAAGGGGACAACAGTCCCCTGGGCACCCAGGGGCTCGTGCTGGTGTCCCTTGGGTGACGGGGTGCACAGATGGGTGCTGGGGACAGCGGTGCCTGACCCCTCCGTGCCACCAGGCTTCATGTAGGAACAGGAACCGGACGGGGAGCTCCATCTCCGACAGCACCAACCTGTACCCAGCAGGCGGCAGGAGGGACCCCGGTGAGCGAGGTCGCCCCATGCCGGCACGCACCGATGCCACGGGGTGTTGGCACGTGCTGGTGTGACTTGTGTGTGTGCAGGTCCCGTGCGGCTCCACTGCACGGAGCTCCTTGGGCTACGTGCCATGGCACGCCCCGTGCCGTGTACCATACGATCATGCACCACGCACAGTGCCAGGCATCGTGGCCGTGCCCCGTGCCATGCCCTGTGCCATGCACCGTGCCGCTGTGCGCTGTGATATGCACCGTGCCAGGCGCCGTGCGCTGCCCCATGCCCCACACCGTGCATCCTGGCTGTGCCTTGTGCCATGCGCCGTGTTGCCATGCGCCGTGTTACCATGCACCGGGCAATGCATCGTGGCTGTGCCCTGTGCCACGCACCGTGCCACGCTCTGTGCCACGCACCCTATGTCTTGCATCATGGCCATGCCCTGTGCCATGCCCTGTGCGCTGTGCTCCATAGTCATGCCCCATGCTGTGCCCGGTGCCGAGCACCGTACGGCACCCCATGCCATGCCCCGTGTTGTGCCCATGCCGTGCCAGATGCCAGACTTTGTGCCGTGCCCATGTCACACACCGTGCCATGCAGCAAGCCGTGCCCCGTGTCATCCACCCTGCTAAGCCTCACGTCACACCGTGTCGCGTCCTGTGCCATGCACCACGCCACTCACCGTGCCGTGCACCGTTTGTGCACCGCGCTGGGCACCACGCCGCATCCCGTGCCAATGCCGCATCCCGTGCCACGTACCACACAATGTACCACGCCACGTACCACGCCGTGCCCTGTGCCATGCCCCGCGCCGTGCCCTGTGCCACGCACCACACCGTGCCATACCCTGCGCCGGGTACCGTGCTAGGCACCGCGCCGTGCTTTGTGCCGTGCACCCCACCGTGCCCCGTGTCCCCCACCGAGCCGGGTGCACGGAGGAAGCGCTGGGTGCGATGCTGCCTCGTACCGTCACCGCTTCCTCCATGCTGCTGCGTCTGCTGATCCGAGCGATAAATGCTTTCGGCTTCCTCCCCGCGCCCCTCACCGGCGTGGGCAGACGGCGTTGCTGCCAGCCATGGGGCCCCGCCGCTGGCTGCTCTGCACCGCGCAGGGAGGTGAGTTACCCCCACGCTGGCACCGGGGCTGGCACCCTCATGGCACCGGGGTGGGGACCATCCTGGATGGGTGCTCGGCATCGCGGCACCGGGGCTGAGCACCAAGGCTGGACGCTGGCGCTGTGCACTGGAGCTGGGGCAGCAGGATACATCCTACTGCCCCCTTCTTCCTTGCGCCCATGAGCACCCATTTTCAGCACCCGAAGCTTGGCTGCATCTCCGGGCTGTAGATACTGTGAGGTGCTGGCAGGATTTGGCACCCAGAACAAGGTGCCTGGGCCCTTCCTCCAGCTTTGGTTGATGTTTCCCTGCGGGGGGAGGGTTGCGTATGGGTGTATCCTGCCCCTTCTCAAGCCTGGCATGGTGTTGGGGTGCTTGGGGTGCTGGTAAAGGGGGGGGGGTCCTGATGTTGGGTGCCCCTCCAGACCTGGCTGCAGATGAGAAGAGCACCCGGGGTGCCGGGAGAAGCGCCGAGAGCGAGACCTCCTCCACCTCCCAGTTCACCAATGTCAAGGTGGGCATCCCCCCTCCCCACAGTCCCAGCCCCCCCTTCTCCCGGGTGCTCAGGCCCACCCATGGGTGACACGGCAGCCATCTCCTTACCCCATCCAGGGGTTGTTGTGGAAGAGGCTCCGGGAGCGGAAAGGTCGCGGCGTCCCCAAAGTCGAGACGCCGGCAGTGACGGTCCCCAACGGTGAGAGGTACGGCACCGCAGAGGGTGGCGGTGGGGTCACGGGTGCTGGTGAGGGTGCCCCGGTGATGGTCCTGTCCCCGTAGGGTCCCCAGCCGGAGCGGTTCGCGGGAGTCGCTGCTGCCACCTCCCAGCGTGGCTGAACTGGACCTCACTGGGGACAATGTCATCATCCGGCCCGTGCACGGCAGCATCGTGGGCGAGAAGTTTTGCTTTCAGGTAACGGGCTTGGGTGGGTGTTCAGGGCGCCCCGAAGAGGCACCCGGGGCACCCTGGATGGGCACCCAGAGCACCCCAGGCAACCTGAAAGGGACCCCAGGGCACCCCAGGCACCTTGGAGGGGCACCCAGAGCATCCAGAGCACCCCAGGCACCCTGGGCAGACACCCAGGGCACCCTGGGGGGGCATCCACAGCACCTCAGGTACCCGGGGCACCCAAGACATCCTGCACAGTCATCCAGGGCACGCAGGACACCCCGAAGGGGCACCCAGAGCACCCTGCCCAAGCCCCCAGGGCACCCCCACTGAGCACCCCAAAGGGACACACCAGCACAGCCCTTAGCCATGGGCACCCAGACCCCAGAGCGTAGCCCCCCCCCAGACACCTTCCCCGCACCCAGGTCATCACGGGCGAGGGCAGCTGGTCCTTCGGGTGCACGTCCCTGGCCGAACGCGACCGCTGGATTGAGAACCTGCGCCGGACCGTGCAGCCCAACAAGGTGGGACCGCGAGGACACCCGTGGGACACCCCTGCCACCCCCAGGGGACGGGAACCTCCAGCACCCAGACATGAGAGGCCACCCGCTGCCCTCCTGTCTCCCCAATGGGCAGGATGAGGCCCGCTGGCAGGGCTGGGTGGGGAAACTGAGGCACAACCCCCCCACTCCACCCTGGAGCCCTGCAGGCACCCACAACCCTGATGTCCTCCTGGGGGCTTGCTTGTCCCCCCATGTACCCTCCTGTCCCCTGGGGGCTTGGTTGTCCCCTTGTGTCCCCTCCTGTCCCACCATGGGTTTGGCTATCACCCATGTCCCCCTGAGGATTTGGTTGTCCACCCATGTCCCCATGTCCCTTCCTGTCCCTCCATGTCCCCTCCTGTCCCCACTCCCACCCCATCCTCCCATGTCTCCTCCTGTCCCCCAATGTTCCTTCCTGTCCATCCTTGTCCCCCCCATTCCCACGTGTCCCTCTGTCCCCCATGTCCCCTCCTGTCCACCCACAGAATTCCCTGTCCCCCTCAACCCCCGTGCAGATTCACCTACCCCCCCATGTCCCCCACTGTCCCCTTGACCTCCCCACCCATGTCCCCCACCCCGGCAGGACAACTGCGAGAGGCTGGAGCTGGCGCTGAGCCTGTGGGTGTACGAAGCACGGGACCTGCCACCTCGGCGTCGCCTCCGTTGTCACCTCCACCTGGACGGCACCCTCTTCGCCCGTACCACCGCCAAGGTGGCCGGTCCCGACGGCGAGCTCTTTTGGGGTGAACTCTTCCAATTGGCCGCCCTGCCACCTGCCCGTGCCCTCACCCTCACCCTTTGCCGTGATGACCACCCCGGTCAACCAGTAGCCTCCATTACCGTCCCCTTGGCCGAGCTGGCGGCTGCCCGGCAGCCCTTGGAGCGTTGGTACCCACTGAGTGGTCCCGGGGGAGGTGAGCGGATGCCATCGGTGAGGGTACGCGGGCGCTACCGGGAGGTGCGGGTGCTGCCCATCGTACGCTACAAGGAATTGGCTGAGTTCATCACCTTCCATTACCGGGAGCTGTGCGCCCATCTGGAGCCCACCATCGCCGTGCGGCACAAGGAGGAGCTGGCTGGTGCTCTCGTCCGCGTCTTGCAGAGCACTGGGAAGGCCAAGGTGGAGCGGGTGCTGGCCATGGGGGATGTGGGGAGGGTGGGTGAGGGCAAGATGGGTGCTGCCTGGGGTGCTGTGGGCATGGCAGTTGGGGTAGGAGGGACATCATGGGTTGGGGGTGCTGGGAGAGTTGGGGTGGGATGGGATGGGGTGGATGGGTTGGGTTGGGATGAGTTGGATGGGTTGGGTTGGGATGGGTTGGATGGGTTGCGTTTGGTTGAGTTGGGATGAGGTGGATGGGTTGGGTTGGGTTGAGTTGGAATGGGATGGGATGGGACTGGAGAGTCGGTTTTGGTTGGGGTGGACGAGCTGGGATGGGATGGATGGGAACTGCAGTTCAGGGGAGCGCCAGGAGGTCCTGGCACTTCCCAGGGTGGGTTGGTCAGGTTGGTTTGGGGCCATGGGTGCCCACTGAGCCCTTCAACACGTCCACCTGGCAGTCATTCCTCATCGACCTCGGTGTGGCCGAGCTGGACCGCTTTGATGACCGCGAGGCACTGATCTTCCGTGAGAACACGCTGGCCACCAAGGCCATCGACGAGTACATGAAACTGGTGGGGGGCAAGTACCTCCAGGACACGCTGGGTACGGCTGAACGTTACACATCTTTGTGGGATGTTAGGGGGTGTGGTGGGGTGCGGGGCATGGACAGAGCATTGTGGGGCTGTAGGACACCCCCAGAAAGTGGAGGCTTGTCACGGCCATGCCCACGGTGGTGGTTGGTTGGTCCCCTTACGGGTTGTTCCTTGGTGTTCAGGTGAGGCCGTGGCCCAGCTCTGCACCTCGGATGATAGCTGCGAGGTGGATCCCAGCAAATGCGCTGGCCTTGACCTCTCTGACAACCAGAACAACCTGCGGCAAGTCTGCGAGGAGACCTTCCAACGCATCGCTGCGTCCTGCGAGTGAGGGACAGCCCCTGCGCGGGCCATGGGATTGGGCACGGAGATGGCCGTGGGGGTGGGCACCTGCCCAGGGATGGGCTTGGGGATGGACACTGGTACGGGCAATGGGAGAAGCCTGGGGTGGGCACCAGCACCATGAAGACCTGGGGACAGGCTTGGAGGTGGGCATGGGCATAGGGACGGGCTTGGGGACAGGAATGGGAATGGGCAGGAGGACAGGCACTGGCACCAGGATGGGCATGGGGATGGGTTTGAGGATTGGCATCATCCTGGGGATGGGTTTGGGGACTGGCACCATCCCTGGGATGGGCATGGGCACCAGGAATAATCCAGGGACAAGCTTGGGGACAAGCACAAGGGACTGGCCTGTGGACAGGCACAGGCATGGTGGGCACCATGTCCCACGTGGCTTGCTGGGGTGGCTCCAGGGCCAGCCACCTGCCCCAGCACCCTTCAGGGTGTCTCTCCCCACAGCGCCTTCCCGGCAGAGCTGGGCGAGATCTTTGCGGCATGGCAGGAGGAGTGCGCGGCGCGGGGCAAGGCGCCCATCGGACAGCGCCTGGTCTCGGCCTCCCTCTTCCTACGGTTCCTCTGCCCTGCCGTCATGTCCCCCAGCCTCTTTGGCCTCGTCCAGGAGTATCCCAGCGAGGCCACTGCCCGTACCCTCACCCTCGTGGCCAAGGTCATCCAGAACTTGGCCAACTTCACCACGTACGTCACGGCAGGGCACAGCACCAGCGCCGGTGGGGAGGGACATGCCCATGGGGAAGCCATGGGGCAGCGGGGACATCCCCTACATGCTGTGTGGCACATGCCGTGGACAGTCATGGGGCAGTAGGGTTGTCCCCAACATACCATGGAGTGGTAGGGTTGTCCCCAACATGCCACAGAGCAGCAGGGATGTCCCTTAAATGTCATGGGGCAGCAGTGACACCTCCTACATGCTGTGTGGCAAGCAGGGACATCTCCTACATGCCATGAACCAGCCATGGGGCAGCAGGGAGCATCTCCACTGCATGCATGGGGCTGATGTGTCCCAGCAGCAGGGCCTCATGTGTCACCTGTGGTGGCCTGACCTATGGGTGGCTTGGTGCAAGAACATGGCAGTGTCCTCACATGTCCTGGCTTGTAGCCAGGGTGGTGACATGGTGCAGGGTCATTGCAATGACATGGTGCATGATCCCGGAGGTGGCGTGGCCCATGACCATGATGGTGGCTCGTGACCATGGTGGTGGCCCAGGCCATTGCCTTGTCCCCAGGCAACCAGACATTGTGGTCCCCAGGTTTGGTGAGAAGGAGGCCTACATGGGCTTCATGAATGAGTTCCTGGAGCACAACTGGAGCACCATGACAGAATTCCTGCAGAGCGTGGCCAACCCTGAGAGCAGCGTCCACATGGCCACCTACGACGGCTACGTGGACCTGGCTCTGGAGCTCGCCACTCTCCACCTCCTGCTCTGCGACATCTTCTCCAGCCTGGACCAGGTGCCACCACCCATTTGTCCCCAAGGGTAGCTGGCAAGACTGGCCACCTCCTTCTCCCCACACAGAGACCTGGTGTCCACTGCCCCATGGATGGCACCTACCCCAAGACCACCCATTGTCCCCATAACGTCCTTGTCTTGTCCTGGTAGGCCACGCAGGAGGAGCTGGAGCCCCTACCCACCATCCTCACTGCCATCAGGGAGGGGACCCCCGTCCCCGTCTCCGTCCGTCTCAGCTCCACCACAGAGCGAAGTTACCGGTGGGTGGACAGAGGGACATATGGGACCAAGGTGGACGTGTGGGGCCAGGAGGAGCTTTGGTAGAGGCGTGACACTAGGATGGGTTTGGGGTGGTTCTCGTCCTGGCGGGGTTCAGGGGATAGTTCTGGTCCTAGTTGGGTCTAGGGTGACTCTGGTCCAGAATGGGTTCGAAGTCACTGGTCCCAGTTGGGTTCAGGGCATGGTTTTGGTCCCTGATGGGTCCAGCAGATGGCTGCGGTCCAGGTAGGGGATGGTTCTGGTCTGGACTGGATTTGGTGGATAATTCTGATCCAGGCTGGGTCCAGGAGATGTTTCTGGTCCCAGATGGATTTAGGGGGTGTTTCTGGTGCTGGCTGGGTTCAGGGTGGTTCTGGTTGGCTGGGTTTGGGGTGACTCTGGTTCTGGGTGGGTTTGGGGTGGTTCAGGTCAAGGCTGGTCTTGATGCTGGTTCCGGTTCTGGTTGGGCTTGAGAGATATTTCTGGTCCCAACTGGGTTTGGGGTGCTTAAGGTCCAGGCTGGGGTCAGGAGATGGGTTCAATCCCAACTGGGTTTGGGGTGCCTCTGGTCCAGACTGGGTTCAGGGTGGTTCTGGTCCCTCCTGGGTCCAGCACCACCCTGGTATCTGGCCATGCCATCACCCCATCTCCCCTCACAGCCCGGCAGACAGCTTCAAACCAGGCTTCGTGCCACCACGGGACCTGAGCAAGCACAGCCCCCTCATCAAGAGCCAGTCCCTCATCAGCATCCGCCGAGTTCGGGGCCGGGAGGACGGGCCGGAACCGGAGCCGGCACCGGCACCAGTACCATCACCGCCGTCCAGCCGGGAACGCCGCAACGTGCAACGCACCCAGAGCGTGCCGGCGCAGAGTAAAGCCGCCCGGCGCCTACGCAAGCAGGCCAGCGCCGAGCACGTGGCGGAGCCACTGGTCGATGACAACCCAGGATCCCTCATCCCCCGCAACGTCCCGGTAAGCCACGGTGGCTGCCATGCCGCCCTCGTGTTAGGGCCGGTGCTCCGAGGAGTACGGCAGCGTTAATAAGTGCCGCCGGTGCTGTAGGGTCATGGGAAGCTGCGCTCGTCGGCGTCGCTACCGCGCAAATCGACGGTGCCGTGGCAGCGCTATGCGGAGGAGGCGGCGGCGGCAGCGGCACAGGGCGAGCTCTACGCCATCCGCCCCTTGGAGAAGGTAACCGTGGGGTGGGTGACAGCCAAACCCACTGGGGTGTCCACCGATAATCCCCACACACACACACATCCCGTCCTCGTCCCCCTCCAGCATGGGCGGTTGATCGAGGCACTGCGGAAGGAGGTGGCGGAGAACCGGGAGAAGTTACGGCTGGTGGAGACGCGAGCGGGAGAGATGGAAGTCCAACACTGCGGATTGCGGCAGGAGCAGGGTCAGCACCGAGAGCAGCTTGAGCGTCTCCGGCAGCAGTTGGAGGAGGCGAACGCCCGTGCGGCCAATTTGGGTGCCAGGTAGGGATGGGGATGGGGAGTGGGTTCCCCAAACCGGTGGGTGCTCCACGCCAGCGGGTGCCCCACCACCGGGTCGGGGTCTTGGCTCATTCCCAACCCAATTAGGTTGACGGTGGCTGAAGGCACCAGGAAGAAAGACCTGGAGAGGCTGAAGGCCAGCGAGGAGAAGAGCCGAGAGCTGGTAAGAGCCAGGATGCAGGCGCACCCATGGGTGACAAGAGGGACCCGGGTGGGGGCTGACACGGTCCCCTCGCAGGAGAGACGGCTGTCGGCACTGGAGAAGGAGCAGACAGAGCTGCGGGATGCCATCGCCCAAGCCCTGGGCCACCCTGGGAGGACGGGACGCAGGATGCCGGCACGGGGTTGGGATGAGAGCGGTGACGACTCTCAGGCCACCAGCGTGTAACTGGTTGCCCCGATGTCCCCGACGTGTCCCTGCAGCCCGGTCACCCGCCGTCTCCTGGGTCTTTCTGAAGGGCATTTAATCCTGATCCCGCGGGGTGTCCCCTCCCCAGGCAATAAACAGTGTTGGTGTCACCGCCACGAGGTACTCGGTTGTGACCTGCCACCGCTCAGGGCTCTGTCCCCAGCACCCTACGCCTGCCGGGGACATCCTAGGACCAGTGACAGGGATGGCAGGGCCATGGGGACCTGGAGGAGACCCATGGGGACCTGGAAAAGTGACAGAGATGGCAGGGCCATGGGGACACTTTGGGGGTGACAGGGCCACAGGGACTTTTTGGGACAGGGCCATGGGGAGACTTTGGGGGTGACAGGGCCACGGGGACTTTCTGGGACAGGGCCATGGGGACTCTTTGGGGGTGACGGGGCCACAGAGACTTTTTGGGACAGGGCAATGGGGACACTTTGGGGGTGACGGGGCCACAGGGACCCCTCAGGGCAGGGCCATGGGGACACTTTGGGGGTGACGGGGCCACAGGGACCCCTCAGGGCAGGGCCATGGGGACACTTTGGGGGCGACGGGGCCACAGAGACTTTTTGGGACAGGGCCATGGGGACACTTTGGGGGTGACGGGTCCTCTTTGGGACAGGGCCACGGGGTCCCCTGGGGGTTGGCAGGACCACGGGTCCCGCCGGGGTCCCCTCAGGGCCGCCCCTTTCCCCGACCAGCCAGACCTTCCCCCTCCGCCCCCCCTAAAATGGCCGCGCGGCGCCGCCGTCGCTCTCCGATGACGCAACAACCCGCGCCGCTCCCCCCCCTCCTGGAAGGTCGCCGCGCCGCCTCTTCCCTTCCCTCCTCCC